AGTAGCTACGACAGTATTACATCTCCTTAAGGCTGCTGGTTCCTGGGGGCTGAACTCTGTTCTGGCCCATTCATTACATGAATCCTGAAGAAACTGTTAGCAACAGTTTGCTTCAGATTCCCTCTTCAGCTGCAAATGGAAGTTTCTTCTCTTTCTAAAACCTCTTGCAACTAATGATGCCCTCTCAAGTTATTCACAGTGAATTTAGGAAGGCTAAAAGAGACTGCTGATTAATGGGAAGCGAAGTCAAGAAAAGAGGGGCTGGGAGTCAGGATACTTTTTTTTCCCTCCCTCACTTTGTGATAAGCACCGGTGATTTCAATTGGGCCCATCACCTAGTCCAAATCTGTCAAGACTGTTCATTAACCTGGGAAAAGCAGGACTCTAAGAGGCAGGAATGTTTAGCATCGCTGAAAAATGGGATAAAATGAAGAGAACCATATCATGATTGCCTTGTTTCCCTGCTTCAGTAAACAAAGTGCCTCTCCCATTTATTGTGCTAACTCATAAACTCAGAGAAAAATAATGCTTCTCTCTACTGAGCTTGACTTCTTCCTTTTGGCAGACATGGTAATTGAGGGTTTGTGATCCTATAAGCCTTTTTTTTTATTGAAGACCAAAAGAACTCCAGCTTTTTCATATTCTGTTACTTCACAGGAGAGTGTTTTCCTAGTAAATGTGAACAGAAATGCAATTTGGTGGCACGAAAGGGAAAGGGAGAAAAACTTTCACACACTAAATGTTTTCTTCTCAGTTTCAGCTGCTCCAGTAAATTACTGAGTCACCAAACACAGAAAGAATAATGGTAAGGAAATCTTTCACTTAATTTCTTTTTTGAAAAAAAATAGATCTGCTGAGTTCTCAATCAGGAATCTTTCACTCTCATTACACAAGAGCTATGCTGTTATTCTACTGCCTAATCAGGTTAACTTAATAAGGTTTTTACAAAGTGATCTTCATGACTGGGTAGCACAACCTTCTTCCTCTCTTTCATCACAATATTAAACAATCCTTCATCTCTTCTTTTTTCCTGTATGAAATCACATAAATTCCCTCCTGCAAGCAAGAATCTTGTACTATTTGCTATTTAAAAAATCCCATGCTATATTTACACTAAGCATGCTTCCAATTTTTGGAAAGCGAGCTACAAACATCTTCTCAAACCGTACTATTGTGAGTAATCTTCAGACCCCTAAGCAAAATGTAAGTTGTAAGCTTACAACTCCATCGGCAAGGAAAGATTCAACTCACATACAACCCAAATAAATGGAAATACTGATTGACATTCCCATTCTGCCACGATTGTGCTAAACTCAGGAAAGAAAGAACAGTTTATACTTGATATGACGATGTCCCCAGGAATTTCTTCCAACAAAAGCCAAAACATGTGGCAAAATGCAGAAATTCCATGTACAGCAATATTTTTAAAAAGCATGCAGCTTTGGTTAGAGAGCTAACCTTTATTGGGAGTTTACTGGCTTTTGCTGGTTTGCATCAACACTAGCAAACAGAAAATGAAATGTTAATGATTGAAGAAAATGCAAATGTTTTGGCCGTTTGCCAGAATTTCTGCACTTATTTTGACAAGGTGAAAAAAACCCAAAACACTTTCTTTGGAAAGATCTTCTACCCTACGAAACCCATGTTGTTTGCTACGTTTTTGTTAGTCTTACAGTAACTTCATCAAGCAGACAATATTTTCCCAGATAGACAGACATAGAATTATGGAGATCAACAATCAAGAGTTTCCCATATTAAATGATCAAGTCTTCAGAAGTGCACAGCTCCCATCAGAGCTCTTACAACAGTCAGTATGAATTTCAAAAGTGTTCAGTAATACAAAGGAATATTCAAACCTCTCCGGGTAATTTAGATGCATTAGTCTCATTGAAAGTTAATGAGCCATGTGCTGCTCAGGCTTTTGGCTGCTCTGCAGAAAACACACGTTACGACCGGTATCCATGGTGAAAGTCATAGGCATTTTTAAAATTTGATCTTATGCTGTTTAGGCTAAATTCTGCTCTTAGCTACAGATGTGTAGCTTCTTACGGCATATTTATCTGTCCAATGAAGCAATAGTTCCCCTTGCTCTGCTCTTTTGAAAGTCTGTCAACACAGAGCATCTGAATGCAGCTGTGCAAAGAGCTGCGTATCCTGGCCTCTAGCCCCTAGGACAGTCCCAATCCTCCACGCAGCCATGCTGTGTGAAGCCTACTGCTGACAAGCGCTGCTGCATCTCATACAGAAAGGAATAACCCACATGGCTAAGAGAGTTATTGAGTAACCACAGTCAGTGCACTAGGACATTAACTCTCGCACCTA